ACAGGTGACTCGACTTTGGAGAGCAAAAGACCTGTTCGAAGAGCGGCTAAGATATTTATATATATATATATACATATTACATATGTATTAAACAGTATGTATATTTGATCCGTCCAATGTCTAAAAGGACACATTTGACCGATGAGACAAGGATACCTTTTGGAGAAGATCGTGTAGGAAATCATTGGATCCTTTAGGTCTGGAATGCCGCATGAGCAACAATACCTCATCATTCATTGTTTTAATGGAAGGTAAATTGCAATCCCCGAGGCCGTAGCTGGCCCTAGCTCTCCACCTGATATGAAAGCAACGTGATACCGCAATTGCTTGAGGCTACAAGCTCATTGGCGACTCGATTAGCGTGGATGTTGTGGCGGAGCTGCTGCGATATTTGTTGTTTGAGAAGATCAAGGCAGCTAGCTCCTAGCGTCAAGCAGGCGCTGAGAAAAGGAGCAAAGGCAAGTCACGCCTTGCTCCAGCAAGTCACGCGCTGACTGCTTGGCTCAGAGAACTTTCACTCGTGCGGCTGGACTCGGCATTTTTCGGAAGATCATCAGATGAAGGGCTCCGTTTCGCACCAAGCACCAGGCAGAGCGAGATATGCGAACGCTTCTCCGGTTTGATGTTTGCTGGCTTCGTCATGGCCACTTGACAAGGAATTTAGAGTTTAGAGGAATCGAACCGCGAAGCTAATGATTGGCTCTTGGGCCTGAAGTCATACCGGAAAGCAATTTTTTCTACTACGTCATAGCCACTTCCTAACACCCCGCTTAAAAAAGAAAGCGCGCCGGGATACTCTAGCCAAAGCTGTTTTGAACCAAGCTGCTTTCTGGCGCATTGGTATTCATGGTTGTGGTTGGTTCGTTAGTGGGGGCAGAGCCTTTCTGAATCCTTCTGCTGTAGAGCGATGCCATGACGGCTGAGCTCAAGATTGCTCAATAGTCTAGACCAAGTTACTGATGGGACACTCAGGCCCACTGGTAGTGTTTGACTGAGGCCTGTGCATCAAGGGCGCTTTCATTGCCGATATCGAGCTTGGGGAGCTCTTCAGAAAAGATCAAGATCGGGAGCTGCGGCTTTCGGCTGGAGCTTACCAGTTTCGCTGGCGACTGACACTCTACACGATGGGGTCTCCATTTGAGCATTGCACACTAGGGTGACTTGATGGACGGCCTTGACCCAAAGGGGGCAAGTAGTCTCTCTCCATTCCTTTTGTAGAAGAGTTGGGATCATCTCTTTCTGCAAGAGCAAGATAAATTGCACAGAAAATTATAGAAAATCAATGTCTGCGAAAAGAGATGGTTGACATAAACATTACTATAATATATATGCTAATCTTTGTCGACATCAGTCGCCCACATTAGTGCCGACAAGTACACAGTTTATTCCTTTACAAGAACGCTACCAACCTTAGGTCGTGAACTTATGTACAGTATATGCTACCTACGCCATTCTCCACGGGCGTCAGAAACACATTTGTTTTGTGTTCAGCTGGGCTCAAGACATTCACATGCTGGTCCAGGGCGAAATCAACGAGCATGTCAGAAAACCATAAGTCTTGTAATTCAATTAGACATGGGGAGCAAGAGATTTGTTTCACATATACGGCCCAGACAGCACATTTGCAGCACTTCGACGGATTATCCTGTCAGGCACCTCAGGGTTTCAAAAACTAGGAGACACTAAAGCAAAACACAATTTTTGAAACGTGCTCAAAGTTCAAAACAACTTCAAGGATGGATGAGCCTTTGATTGAACGTTTTGATTCAAACACTTGGTTTCCTTCAATTCGTTTCACTTCAACTCACCGAGGTGCGTTACTGATCCACTTGATCCACCATGGCAGAGGCTCAAGGGTTTCAGTCTCGAATGGCTTCAAGTAAGTCGGAAGCTGTCGAAGGCACCACCAGGCCCACCGTCCATCAAAGAGCGAAGCCTCCGCCTCAGCTGAAGATCTCATGGCTGTCACTTCAAGCTGGAACAAGTGGCTCTGAGGTGCTCACCTAGATGCAGATCCAAAGATGCAAGAGCTTAGGCATACCACCAGGACTCCCAACATAGCGAGAGACGCCTTGCATTTCAGGATGAGCCGGTGAGTCTACTTGGTGCTTTCTTGCAGCTTCTACTGACAGCAAATAATGAACAGGCAGAGTTGTCAGCGCTCAGAGTTTCTCACCCTCCAGAGCAGAAGCGACAGCCAGATATCTAATAGCTTCTTGTTACTACTAGTAAGGCACCTGTTACTACTAGCGTGGCACTTGTTACTACTAGCTTCTTGTTTCTTGTTGTGGTTTGGAGGTATTCGTTTTGTGGAAGCGTAATTGGAAAAGCGAACACTCGCTGCACAGACAAACAGCAAGCATAGATGGTGGACGCATGGTGGATTTCCTGTCATGGTGGACGCCTGTGAAGATGAGCAGACAGCGCTGCTGAAGAAGTTGCTTGAATCAGATGGGGTAAAGACCACATCATAGATAAATCAATAGCTTGCCAAGAGCTTCTCACAGGAGGTTCTGCATATGATCACAAAACATTGCTCTAAAGCTCTAGAAGATATGCTCGGGGCTGTATTGGCGTTGCTGGGAATTGAGGGCCTAACATTGACATGACTCCCCACGCTTTATCTTCGTGGTGGGCTGGGTGTGTGTTTTTGCTGATGTGATCCAAGTTGTTGGGTTCATGTCGAGGTATGTGTTGTCGCGAAAAGATGAGCTCGAGAAGCTGGCAGATGCTGAGGAGATTCTTTCAGCTTCGCCTCAGTGTTCTCAGACGCTTCAGACCTTTCTCTCTTCATTTCTTTCGACCGTTCTTGTTGCCTTTCCTTTCCTTCAGCTGGCAGTTCTGGCCACAAGGACAGTGCGGCTGGCCCACTCTCAGTCTCTCCCTTTGTGCCATGTGCTCCTGGGCGAATCCCTTATATCCTCCAAGCTGCACGTCTTGGACCTCAGGACCGCGAAGCAGCGAGTGTAACGACAATCCCAAGGCAACACCTCATTCCCGCATTTTTTCCCTCCCCACAAGCAAGGAGCGGAACCAGAATGCGAAACTCGCCGGCGGCCCTTGGTGGCACTTCCTTCACTGCGGACGTTAAGCAAATCCACCTAGTGACCTTGGCAAATCCAGAAACTGAATCTCCAGCCAAGTTCAGCCAGGTTGTTGTAGAGTTTCTTGATGTTCCTTTGAACTCCGGTCCCTCGGAAGACCGGATCTGATCGCTTCATATGGAGCGAGTGCGGAAAAAGCAGAACGAACTGACAGGATGTGCTTTGGGACCTTGGCTGCGGCGATGGCATAGTCCTTGTTGAGGCTGGAATCAAGACTGGCATTGATGGCAGCACCCAAGAAGTTGCCCTGAGTATACAAAGCATATTCAGTTGTGAAGAACGTCTATAGGCTGCTCGTCGTTGCGGCTGCCGTTGCGTTGGCCTTGACATTGATGGCCCGCTCGGATCTCGGGAGAGGAAGGTTAACCATGGCACCTGTCCCGTCGAAAGAACAGTGGACAATGTCATGGGGACATGTCATAGAGAGAGCATTGACACGTCAAGACGTGACAATGATGCTGCGCACAGTTGAAAAACATCACATGCCGAGGTGTATTGATGCTGCTCGCTCACGTGCGCGAGACGCTGGTGTTGATAAGCTTTGTAGCTGGCTGCGCTGTGATATGCTGAGGCTACCGCAGGCCGATTCGCCACACATTCTCTTGTGGAATCGAGTCAGATGTTCAAATGTCCTTAGTTTCTTCAATGCTTTTGCAGAATTACCCAACAGCCTAAACCAGTCTGAATATGTGCAAAATGGACGACGGTGTAACAAAGACATAGGATAACATAGGTCTCATCGCTTCGCTTGGCAGGGCACTCTGGCAGGAGTAGCTCAAGGTCTCGATGTCTGGAGCCCAAGAGAGTCGCCACGTGACAAAATAGGACAAAAAAACAAACCAATAACTAATTTAAATGCTAATTGTCAAAGGTTGAGTGAAGCATGCATGGTTGAGCCCCTTCGAATGCTGTGGCCATTCTGGCCCCACGGTCTGAACCAGGCCTTACGCCAAGGTTACGCCCCAACGGAAAACGTCCGAGTGATTTCGCCATTGCTTTTCGGTGTCTTCATAGGGCGGCTATCCACAGTGGTGACGCGGAGCATAGCTTGCTGGTTTTCGAGCTTCAGGACCTTTGCAGCGCCAGTCACTAGAGCCCCTTGGATCTCGCTTCAGAACCCTTTTGTTTTGGCAAGCGCCGGACTTGTTGGACGGAAGCTTCGATCCGCTGTTTCCACTCGTGCCGAACATCGGCACCTTTTGCTGCTTTCACCTTCGCCGGCCACCGAACTTCGTCTTTGACTTTGCCTTGACTTTCCTCTAAGAGGGTCCCGATGGCAAGCACCTCCGGAAGCGGTGGCGGCGATGAGAAGGGCGCTTGGTATCAAGTCCCTACGTGGGACGGCTCGCCACTTACGTGGCGGGCCTTTCGAAGGGAGATGACATGGTGGGTCAGCAGCCTTGACTTGCAGGCGACCTCTCGCTACAACCTCGCCGCACGGTGGCTCATGAGGCAAACTGGGATCGTGCGGCAGCGAGGGGAGGAATTCAACCCCCAAGATTTGCAATTCAAGCCTGCTGAGGTATATGATGACCCAACAACTGGTGAATCCATAGAGGTGGCCCCACCGGACTATTTGTTTGGGTTGAACAAGTTGCTCACGGCTCTCGAAGGCATCAATGGTCAGTCCCTTTTGGACAAACGTGGAGAGCTCCGAAACATGTTTTATTTGGAATTGAAGAGGGCCCCAAATGAAAGAGTTGCTGAGTTTTGCACCCGTTTTCGGTCGCTAGTTGCCGATCTTGCTGCTGAAGGGGTCACCATCCAGCCTTCTGAACAAGGCTGGTTCCTTCGCCAGAAACTTGGCCTTGATAGCTTGAGGCAACAGCTGCTTGAGACGGCCCTCGCAGGCCGTGAAGAGTACAGCGTGGTTGAGGCCGAATGTCTTCGGCTGTTCAAGGATCTTCATCAAAATGATCCGCTTCGTCGCTTTGATCGTGGTGATCGGCCCAAGCTGACGATTCGACGGCTCTTCCAATCTCAGGGTTCGAGGGGTCCATCGTCTTCGGCTTCGACTATCAGCCGATCACCGTCTATGTTCTCGGCGGCGACCTCGGCACGATCTTCGAATTCTACCAGCACGAGACGTGCCTATGTGACTGAAGCTGATGACCCGCCGGACCAACAGCCTGAGGAGGTTCTTGAGACCGTGATGGAAGAGAGCCCTCCGGCGAGACGGCCTATGAAGGAAACCTTGAAGAGGTTATCCAGTCCGAGGCTGAGGTACTGGCGACAGAGCTTCAGGAAGCTGAAGAGCAGGGAGTTGACCCTGCCCTGTTGGAAGACATGGAATCTTCGTTTGAGCAAGCCGCAGAGGCCCTTGTCACGATGAAGGAGGCCAAGAGTCGGTTGCAAGAGGTCCGCAAGGATCGTGGCTTTGGCAAAGCTGGAGCTCTTGGAGGTGGACGGCAAAATGCCGGTGTTCCAGCGGCCCGAAAGGCCTCAGGAAAGCATCCATGCTTCGATTGCAATCAGCATGGTCATTGGGCAGGCGACAAGGAATGCCCGAAGCCTGGTGCAGGCTTAGGCCGAAAAGGCCCAGCTCCAGCCGCCAAGGCCAAAGCAAAAGTCCGCCAAGTTCGGGTGACGGAGGCATTCCAAGCAGAGCATGTTGAGCCCCTTGCACCTTCACCATCGAGTACATCCTCACCTCCGGAAAACCCTGGTTCCCCTCATGAGGTCAATATGGTTTTGCGTGGGAGTTCATCCATGTCTTTGGAACAAGCGTTCGAGCAGTCCCTTGCGAATGCTTTCAACTCCACCCTCATGTCCAGCACGGCGCAGGACTTGGCGACTGAGAAGCACCTCGTTGGCGCCCTAGACAGCGCCTGCAACAGAAGCTGTGCCGGTCCAACCTGGCTATCGAGTTATGTTGAGCAGCTTGAGTTCGCACCACCCTTCATTCGTGACCTGCTCCAAAGCATCGAAGAGACTGAACGGTTCAAGTTTGGGAACGGAGGTCTGGCCATCAGCAGCAAGCGCTGGAGGCTCCCAGCATGCGTTGGAGGCCGTGTGTTTTTGGTTTGGATCAACGAGGTCCCCATCCCTTCGCTGGGCTGTTTACTTGGATGTGATGTTTTGGATGCCCTTGGAGCTGTTTTAGATTTTGGCCAGCGAACTTTGCACTGCACCTCACTTTTTGACGACCCTCAACACAGGTTAGAGCTCAAGCAAATGGCCGCCGGCCATTTCATGTTGGAGATGATCCCCACCACTTGGCCGAGGCTAGGACCTGGGAAATGGCGGCGATGTGGGCTTGATGGAGTAGTTGAACTTCAACTCACCCCTCGATCGTGGCTCGAACGTCGTGTCGCTGAAGGTTGTTTTGGTGCAGTTCCTAGTCACGACCATTTGTTGACGGAAACCAGTCTTCAAGCCGGGAAGGGTTCCTTGAGGTGGCATGAGTCATTTGCAGTTCACGTTTTGCCTTTGGCTCATAGCATGACTGCCCTTTTGGCACGCTCGCTTCACGGACGACTTCTCGGACTACCAGAACGACTACTTGCGGGACGACCTCAAGTACCTGATCATGGAGACCTCACCTCCGACATCGACCCAACCGCTGAAGATGTCCAAGTCCGGCCCCCTCGAGCCGTTGACTCCGTCGTTGGTGAAGGCCTTCAAGCAGGAGCACCCACGGGGCTTTGTGCCCTACCGGTGGAACCGTTTTGCGCTGCGGTTGATGAGCCGCAATGTGTGGCACGCTCAGAGCATCCTCATCCAGTTCGCTTCAAGATCGCATTTGCGCTTCTTGCCCTTTCCGTATCCCTCGATTGGTTCTGTGGAGCAATGGTTGCTTCAGGCGCAGTCCATGGTCAACATGAACACCCTGAGCCGGCGGCATCATCACCTTGCCTTGGAAGCCGGGAGCTTTACTGCGGAGAACCTGATCGAGTTGGGCCGCTTGAGGGATCGCTGTGGCTGGAAGACTGCATTCCTGGAGGATGGATTGCTCGCTGGCTTCATCGCTGCCCGTGCTCAGAAGGGTCAGCGAGAGAAGTTGAGGGCTGCTGCACTGGAAGAGACCAAAGCTCGCGTGGCTCAGGAGTCTGCGGAGATGGATCGCGAGATCATGGCGCGGCAGCTTCTTGGACCTCGCGGTGGACTGCCTTCATTGCGCAGCGACTTGGTGAAGTTGGCGCTCTTGCTCAACTTGGACCCTGGTCCAAAGGAAACCGTGCCGCAGCTGCAGGCCCGGATTCGCCCCTTGGTCGAGCTCCTCAAGAACAAGGCACCGCCTTCAACGAGCGAGCAACTTCGTGTGGAGCGCTTGGACCCCTTGGCATCGAAGACGCCCACTTCGTCTACATGGTCAGCCGTGGAAGCCGGTGAAGGAACGCCAGGAGGAAGGATGCCCCTTCTCCCTCGAGTTGCACCACATGGAGCTTCGTGTTCAGGAGGCCATGAAGGCTCAGGACAGCCGCTTTCAGGCGATGTTGGGACAAGTTCTTCAAGCAGTCAGCCAGGGCCCACCATTGGCGGCGACCACAGGAGCTTACCCACTGCCTTCGGAGATGGGACCGGCAGGAGCCGGCGAGATGGCTGTGGACCTCACCAAGGATTGAACCTTGTCCAGGAGGACTTCAAACTTCATGGCAAGCTCAAGAAGGGCATCAGTCAGATGATTTCCCAAGCCTGGCATCGACACCGACGAGACCAACTTGCCTTGTCCGTTGGCTCCAAGGAGATTCAAGAGGTCTTCATGGCGACTTGGGACATGGAGATGAGAGAGGCCCTCAATGAGACCTTCGCTATGGAACTTCGTTTGCCTTCGACCTTCATCACCGAGGTCTACACGGACACTGAACCGGTAGCTCACGCAGCACGACGTCGCGGCCTTAACCCTGGGGACAGCTTGACTCTTGGGACTGGATGGGACTTCCGACTTGCAGAACATCGCAAGGCCGCTTTGGCATTGATAAAGAAGACTAAGCCCTATGTTGTCGTGCTTGCCTTCCCTTGCAGTGCATGGTCGCAGCTCCTGGCCCTCAACGCCGCGGTGAACTTGGAGAAGCTGAGAGCCGAAGCACATGAGCTTGTTGCTTTTGCCATAGAAGTCGCTCAGCTGCAATTGAAGTCTGGGCGACACTACTTGATGGAGAACCCCCGCTCATCTATGGCATGGAAGCTTGAGGTCATGGAGGATTTTGTGACATCCACGGGTGCCTTGGAGGTGGTTGTGGACATGTGCAGGTTCAATCTCCGTGCACCTGGCGGGGAACTTCACAAGAAAGCCACGAAGCTTGTCACGTCGATGCAAGCCTTGATCTCCATCTTCCTGAACAAGCGCTGTTTGGGAGATCACCCTCACACTCCGGTGATCGGAGGTAAGCAAATCTCTGCTGCTGCAGGTCACTACACCAAGGAATTCTCCGATGCGGTGATCGATGGATGCATGCAGCAGTATGACTTCGAGCGCTCTTTGGCCTTTAAGCACTCCGAGACTGAGTTTGAGGTCATGTCTGTTGAGCATGAGGTGATGGTCGTTGGAGATGAGGAGGATTTGGACTCCGAGGCTTCGTTCGAGCCGTCAAAAGATGATGAAGAGAAGCCTATTCCTGCTGCCATCAAGAATGCGGTCTACAGGCTTCATGTGAACACCAGTCATCGGAGCAACCAACGATTGGCACGAGCTCTACTGATTTGTGGCGCTCCCAAGGAAGCTGTGCTGGCAGCCAAGCGGCTGAAGTGTCCTGTATGCGCCGAGCGGCGCAACCCGAAGCCTCGACCTGTGGCTTCGCTTCCTGCACCTCGTGATGTTGGACAACAAGTTCATTTGGATTTGGTCATCCTGGAAGATTCCATGCGGAACCCCTATGTGGTGGCACACGCGACTGACAATGTGTCTCGCTACCAGGCTGCCCGGATCCTCAAGGACAAGAGCACAGCGTCGGTGATCCACTTTCTCACGGTTCACTGGCTTCCTTTGCTTGGTTGCCCTCAGACCATTGTTGCTGATCAAGGAAGAGAATTTGTTTCAGCTGAATTCGGTGATTGGTGCGACAGCAAAAGCATCTACCTCTACCACATTGGAGTTGGCGCCCCTTGGCAAAACGGCATCTGTGAGCGATCGGGAGCTACCCTGAAGGCACTTGTTGGCGCCATTTGCCAAGCCCACGCCATCGGCAACTTCGAGGACATGGAGATGGCCCTTGGAGAAGCTGTCAGCTCGTACAACTCTGACTTGAACGAGGCCGGTGTCGCTCCAATCCAGTTGGTCACTGGGCGAATTCCTGCCCCTGGTGGAGATGTTCTGAACAACTTCAACGCTCGTCTCAGTGAGCACTCCCTCATCGAGGCCAAGCCTACGCTGAGCAAGCTGCTGGCGATCAGGGAGACCTCACGTCTCTCGATGATTCGACTTCACTACAGCCGTGGACTACGCCAAGCTGAACTGGCCCGCTCAAGGTCTTCGACCGTGGAAGATCAACCGCAACCTGGAGATCTTGTCTTCTTTTGGCGAGCTCAAAAGTACCAGTCCCGCAAGGATGTTGGAGCTGGAACTCGACGCCGGCTACTTCTTCGACGCTGGCATGGACCAGGACTTCTAGTGGCCACTGAAGGCCGCCATGGGACGGAGCTCGCTGCCAATTGTTTCATTTCTTTTCGTGGTCAGTTGACCAAATGTCCATTTGAGCATGTGAGAAAGGCATCTTCGCTCGAGAGCATTGCTGCTGGATCTTGGGAGGCTGCGATCGATGAGGTGATCTCAGCTGCTAAGGATGAACTTCGTCGGGAGGAGGACGCCAATGAGTACACGCCTTCCGATGGACCCATTGAGGAGGCAATCACTTCGCCTAGAGGCAATGAACCACTTGCTGGTGGTCTGCAGCCCTATGAGATTGTCGCAGCACTACAGCCGCCTGCTTCGGTGGTCCCTTCTATGGTTGGACGAAGCGTCCCAGCCTCTTTGCATGATGCTGGAACTGAGCCGACTGAAGCACCCGGTACAGCAGCGCCTGGAACTCCGGTGCCAAGTCTGATTTTGCAGGCTTCTCAAGCACCTTCGAGATTGACGAGCCCTATGGCAGGTTCACCTATGTCCAGAACGCTGGAGCGTGCAAGAGCTTTTGATGAACAAGCCGCTGGACAAACTGCTGACCGAGGGACAAAGAGACCGGCGGAAGACCCACTGCCGAGCGCAGACACAGTGTTCTCAGACGTTGCCAGGCCCGCCTTCGAAGCATTGGAGCTGACCCATGCTGAACTCGAGAACTTGGCTGAAAATAAGGACATCCACCCTCTCCTTAGACTACAAGCTATGGTGGATGCAGATCGCCGAGTTGGTGATTTGTTTGCTGAGCCTGATCATAGTTCTTGGGACGGCAAATGGGGCATGCTATGTGAAAGGGACTGGCAGCTTCTACATCGACTTGGAGCCCAACTTCCTTCAGGTGCACCTCCGGAGCACGATGTGTTAGCCTTGCAGACGGCCCGCAAAGAGTACCAGTGGAGCAAGATGTCCGGGCACCAGAAGAAGCTTTGGGGTGAAGCAGCCGTGACCGGTTGGAAAGCCTACATCGACAACTCTGCGGTGGAGGTCCTTTCATTGCACGAATCCAGCCGGATTCGCAAAGAGCTGAGCCGTCGCGGGGAGCTTGATCGCATCTTGGTTCCTCGCTTCGTCCTGACGGACAAACATGACGGACTCCGCACTGAGACAAACCCCTTGCCGGTCAAGGCATCCTCGAGGCTGGTGGTTCCTGGGTTCAAGGACAGGACCAATCTTGAAGGTCAATTGCGGCGAGATGCTCCTACTGGATCTCGCAATGCCCAGCACATCCTCTTCAGTGTGGCCGCATTTCATGGTTCCTGGAACATCGTCTCCAGTGACGTCAAGTCTGCCTTCCTGAAGGGTGACCCCTACATCAATCGTGAGCTCTACATTTGTAACTCCAATGCCAAGAACAGTCCACCTTTGCCTTTGCAACCCGGCCAGTTGTGTCGTGTTTTGAAAGGTATTTTTGGTTTGGCTGATGCTCCCAGAGAATGGTGGCTACGCCTTTCGCGATGCCTTCAAGATCATGGATGGCAACGCACCTTGGTTGATGGAGCTATGTGGTGTTTGTGGGGTGAGCCAGATGAGGCTGCCAAGTTGAAAGGCATAAGGCCTTTGGAAGGTTTGATTGTGGCCCATGTGGACGACTTGCTGTTCACCGGCAGCCCTGCCGCTGAGATCTCTCTGAACAAGGTTGGAAGTGAGCTTGGTTTCGGCTCCCAGGACGTGAATGACTTCACCTGGTGTGGCAAGCGCATTCGACACGCATTGGACGGCACCATTCGTTTTAGCATGGTCGAGTACCACCAGAACCTGTCCGAGATCAACCTCCCGAAGCATCGGAAGTCTGACCCCGCTGCTGTGCTTAGCGCCTTTGAGCATCGGCAACTTCGAGCTGTCCTCGGCTCTTTGCAGTGGCTTGTGGCACAGCTTAGATTTGATTTGGCTTTTGGTGTTTCTAGCCTCCAGGGAGAAAACCCCCCAACGATCGGTTCGATCCTCCGTGCAAACCAGCTGGTTCGCGAGTTCAAGCGGACGGGATCTTTTGAGTTGGTGTTCCGACCCATTGACTACCGGTCGGGTGGTGTGGTGGCAGTGTCAGATGCCGCCTTGGGGAATGTGCAGCTGTCTGGATCCTCAGAAGGAACAGCGACTCAGCAAGTCTACTCTCAAGCCTGCCACTTCATCCTCCTCGGCGACCAGCCCTTGGTTGAAGGACGACCTGGATGTTTCAATGTGCTTGACGCTCGATCCCACAGGATTCCGAGAGTTTGCAGGTCGACCTATGCTGCTAAGACCCTCTCGGCAGAGGAGTCATTGGATGCAGGGCAGCTTGCAAGAGGATTCCTGGCCACGATCCTTGGCCGTGACATGCTCGGAACCCGAGCTGATGTATCCATGAATGCGGTCAAGATGACCGGTGTGGTGGACGCCAAGGACGTCTATGACAAGGTCAATAGCGACACAGCGTCGTTCGGATCGCAAAAGAGCATGGCTTTCACCATCGCCTGGCTAAGGAGTCTTTTGAGGAGGCCGAACACGGCCTTGAAGTGGACGGCAACGAGCAACATGTTCGCCGACGCCGGAACGAAGCAGATGAGTCTGGAGCATTTGAGAAAGATTCTCGCAGCCGGAACCTGGTCAATCTCATACTCACCAGAGTTCCAAAAGCAGGTCTACAAAGCCAAATCGGCGAAGCCTTCGACAAACTCGACAGCATGCGCTGAGCTGCCTGGAGTAAAGCTGAATGGAGAAGACCCGATGCTGCCGCACCTCCTGAGTCTCTGTGAGCGCCGGGGTTGGCGCCACCAAGCCGGAATGGGCATTCAGGTGGCCTTTAATGCAAAGTCCATGCGGACTTCCGAGCCTCGTTTCAGCCAGGCTGATTTTCCCTGTAGGACCACCTTCGCCCGCTTCTGCCAGGATGGGCAGAGCTTTTGGCACCGTTTGGAGGCGGGAGTCACGATTGCTGAGCTCAGCAACCAGCATGCGCTGATTAGTGCTCCTGCCGAAGTTCTTGTCACCTTCTTCCATGGTGTTTCCACTCAACCTTTTTGTGCCACCTTTAGCAAAAAGAAAACGGAATCGATGTCAAAGGTTGAGTGAAGCATGCATGGTTGAGCCCCTTCGAATGCTGTGGCCATTCTGGCCCCACGGTCTGAACCAGGCCTTACGCCAAGGTTACGCCCCAACGGAAAACGTCCGAGTGATTTCGCCATTGCTTTTCGGTGTCTTCATAGGGCGGCTATCCACACTAATTAAATAAGCTACTAGTAACAAGTGCCGCGCTACTAGTAACAAGAAGCTAGTAGTAACAAGTTCCACGCTACTAGTAACAAGAAGCTAGTAGTAACAAGTGCCTTACTAGTAGGAGCAAGGGCCTTACTAGTAGTAACAAGAAGCTTGTGTGTTTGTCTTGATGGCCCGTGCAGAGGTTTGCCCTAGTAGCGAACCTTGTTACTACTAGTAAGGCACTTGTTACTAGAAGCGATGCACTTGTTCCTAGTAGCGTCTTTCTTTGACAAGACAAAATAGACAAATTCTGGTCGTGTCCGAAGATTCAACAATTACATTGAGCTTGATGTATTGTTCTGTTTTTTTCTAGGAACAAGAAGCTACTAGGGGCTCCTGGCCTTACTACTAGGAGCAAAGACGCTACTACGGGCTCCTGGCATCGCTACTAGGAACAAGAAGCTACGAACGTAACAAGGGCATCGCTAAGATGCAACGTGGTGTTGCGAAAAGAGACTCAGGAGCTTCCTGCCGCAACCGTTGCGCTGGCCTTCTTGACGGCTCACGGCCTGGTTCGCTTGGCCAGATGGCTTCACCAGGCCGGAAGGACGTTGATTCAGATGATCATAGTCGACGATAATTCAACCCCCCCAAGCCTGAAGAGCTTTTTTCGAATTCAATCCATATCTCTTGTATTCTCTGGGAGTGTTTCGTTTTCATCGTAGAATCTTGATCACGGGGAGCAGGGACAACGGCCTAACGGCCTTCGGGGGATCACAGCGCAACGGAAAGTAAGAAAGGAAGAAAGAAGGGAAGAAGGGAAGGAACCTGCTAGCGATGGCCTCCACCTAATAGCAATGGGATTTTGCTTCAGCTTCTTGGGCTTCAGCGAAGTATCGACACCCGAAGGAATGGCAGCTGGGAGTCTCGCGCCAGCTACGAGTGGTCACCTGTGTCGAGCACCGAACTCACGGTTTTGAGTTCGGGAGGTCGATCCTTTTTTCCACGGAAGATGCTCAAAGGCAGATTTTCAATGTTTTTCAACCTGATCCCCAAAGGCGGCAGGTTCTTAGATGCTGGATATTGGATCGTTTTGAGGTCTTTGGACTCGGCGGTGGACTTCACTGAACCTGATGTGGCCTGGGCGGAACGAGACACGTTTTGTGCGGTGTCAAAACCGTTCTCCTTGAACACTGGCAGTGATGTCGTGGTTGTTTTTCCCCAGAGAGCTGCAGGCTACAGGAGTTTTAACTTCTCAATGGTGTGGCTGTGGATCGGCGTTTTGGTTTTGCGGGTGCTGCTGCCGTGCTGGTGGTGGTGATGGTGCCCTGACACATTGACCCTTTCCTGTCATGCCAGGGACGACATTATGTCAGGCCAGGGATGACATCATGGAGTCATGCCCAGAACAGACATCACGTCATGCCAGGGATGACATGCTGCCACATTGCGCATGCCAACGTGTTGTGCAGCAGTGATAATGTTGTTTGGGCAGCTTTGGCTGGTCCTGGCCGATCTTACAGTCTTACGGTCTTACGTTTGTGTTGGGCAAAGTGGGCGCATTCTGGACTGGTCTGATGTTGCGTGCTGCGGTGACAACCGTCCGTGGCGTGTCCTCTAAAGCCATGCGCTCGCTATTTGGGGTCTATGCCGGGGTAATCGTTTTTGTGGCACTCAAGTGGGCATTTGGTCTTCATTTGTTGAGGCTTTGTTCGCAAGTACCAACGAACTTTGCTGGCCCGTTTGTCGCGACTTGGAACGTGGCTTTGGCAGAGACAGAGTCCCTAGCGTGAACGTTTTTTGATCTTGGGAATTCATTGGCCAAGTCAGGCTGGGGTGTCTTTGTGGTTCCTCCATTCGGCAAGGACCAACTTCTTGTTCGGAAGGTCGGAAGATCTTTTTTTGCACGAGATGGCTTGCCAGTCTCAATTCCAACTCGCTCTTTCTAGGATGTAGTTTTATTTCACGTCATCTACATAGGCTGGAGGCCATCGCTAGTAGGTTGGAGGCCATCGCTATTGGGTTGGAGCCCATTGCCTCTAAGTAGGGCGACAGAGCGGCCTTTAAAACATGTATTTGTCCGGACACGAATATCACAGTTCTATCCACTACGTTGCAGGATGTGAGTTCCTGGAGTGCAGCCGCGTGGCCTTTGCGCATGACACGCGCTGAAGTGGAGGCCACCCAAGCAGCCGTGCTGAGCTTTGTCCTCAACGAGGTGCCGTCTAGAGCGTGACATTGACAGGCCTTTGAGACATGCTCCGCACAAGCACCGCTGTATTCTTTGATGTTGCTACAATTGGTACCTTCTTCAACTTGGACCGGATTTGGATCTTCCATTCTTTTGCCCTTTCTTTCCTTGATGTATGTTTTGGTTGACTTTTCAAAGGCGGAAGTCGAATGCTTGGAGAAGATTGGAGCTACACTCCTGAAGAATGACGAACAGGATGACGAAGGAGTTGACCTCTTCTCCACGTCGGAGGCCGATGGTATCCTTCTTGTTGCCAATAGAAGCTCAAGGACTCAAGGTCGTCAGCTGCAAGATCCAAGTTTTGAGACTGGATAAAAGCCTGCAGATGTCTGCCAGATGTCTCACAGGTGGTTCCATACATGTCCCTCACGCTGCCAATGAAGAGGCTTTGACTCCGATCCCAAGGCCGGCTTTCACAAGGCAGCCGAAGCGGCACTGCACCGACTTGGCCAGCATCGAGTGCTCTACCTTCATTCCACTGAGGCATGTCGAAGTTGCGCAGTTTTTCATGTCCAGAGAAATCCCACAGAAATCCCTGTACTTCCCCCACCTTGTGTAACTGTTGTGGAGCTTTGGGGTGGTCTTGGGTACTGGCTGGGTGGGAGACATGTTTCGGGAAGTGGGACTCAGAGCTTTCCGCATAGGGTTTGGCCTGTTTAACTATTCCAGGGGGCCTGTGGGATAGTGGAATAACAAAAATGAAGTAATTTTAGTGGATTAATTCCCCAATAGCCATGCTATGGGGTCTTGCAAAACTAATAGGCGGACGGGCGCTGTCGGGTCACCGTCAGAGCTGGTGGGCGGATGGTGTCCCGGTCATGTTTTGATGGCGTCCGGGTCATGTGATGTTGGTGTCCCGGTCATGTTTTGATGGTGTCCCCATCATGTTTTGATTGTGACCCAATCATGTTGTGATGGTGTCCCGGTCCTGTTTTGATGGTGTCCCGGGCATGTTTTGATGGTGTCCCGGTCATGTTGTGATGGTGCCCCGGTCATGTTTTGAAGGTGCCCCGGTCATGTTGTGATGGTGTCCCGGTCATGGTGTCCCGGGCATGTTTTGATGGTGCCCCGGTCGTGTTGTGACGGTGTCCCGGTCATGTTTTGATGGTGTCCCGATCATGTGATGGTGGCGCGGTCATGCTGTGATGGTGTCCCGATCATGTTTTGATTGTGTCCCAGTCATGTTGTGATGGTGTCCCGGTCGTGTTTTGATGGTGTCCCGGTCATGTTGTGATGGTGTCCCGGTCATGTTGTGATGGTGTCCCGGTCATGTTTTGATGGTGTCCTGGTCGTGTTGTGACGGTGTCCCGGTCATGTTTTGATGGTGTCCGGGTCATGTGACGGTGTCCCGGTCATGTTGTGATGGTGTCCTGGTCATCTTGTGATGGTTTTCCCATCATGTCATGTTGGTGTCCCGGTCACCTTGTGATGGTGTCCCGGTCATGTTGTGATTGTGTCCCAGTCATGTTGTGACGGTGTCCCAGTCATGTTGTGATGGTGTCTCGGGCATGTTGTGACGGTGTCCCGATCATGTTTTGATGGTGTCCCGGTCATGTTGTGATGGTGTCCTGGTCATGGTTTGGCGGTGTGCCGGTTATGTTTTGATGGTGTCCGGGTCATGTGACGGTGTCCCGGTCATGTTGTGATAGTGTCCCGGTCATGTTGTGATGGTGTCCCCGTCATGTCATGCTGGTGTCCCGGTCACCTTGTGATGGTGTCCCGGTTATGTTGTGATGGTGTCCCAATTATGTTGTGACGGTGTCTCAGTCATGTTTTGATGGTGCCCTGGTCATTTTGTGATGGTGTCCCGGTTATGTGATGATGGTGTCCAAGGAAGAGATGGTCGATGTGTTGAAAACAGCAGCTGTTTCCAGATTTTTCTTTTTGTCCCGGTTTGTATCTTGCTATTGGGGTCTCCAGCTGGGCTAATTTATTATACAAGGGGTGGTCATAGAGTCATAGGTACCCCTGGAATAATTTTCAAGAAAAGTCTCTGATGATGTCTGATCTGAAGTCAGCAGCTGGACGCCGAGTGAGAGGCTCAAACAAGAAACCACAAAAATATATAAGGGATATAAGACGCTAGCAATCACTGGCCATGTACAAAACCAAAGAAAACATAGGACAACCATATGTTCAGATTTGAGGAAATATGTATTTCATAGGTGCCGGTAGCTCCTGAGCAGGCTTTTGGTGCCAGTAGCAGTTGTGTGGCAGGTGTGGTAATTCTCAGGGGTGGTGGTCCTAATATGTTCTAATTATCCAGAGGGGTTGTTGTAACGAAGACCCCCCCCAGGAATAATTTCACTGTGGTGGTATGTTGGGCTGACAGGCTTGGGGTTAGTAGGGTTCGGGAAATATGTATTTCATGCCCAAAAGATCCCAGTGGCTCTTGAGCAGGCTTTTGGTGCCAGTAGCAGGTGTGTGGGGGTGGCCCTAATTATCAAGAGGGGTTGTTGTAAACTGAGACCCCCCCAGGAATAATTTTCTCAGTGGGGATATGTTGGGCTGACAGGCTTGGGGTTCCCAGGGATTGGGGAAATATGTATTTCATATCAATAGGTGCCAGTAGCTCCTCAGCAGGTTTTTTTGTGCCAGTAGCAGTTGTGTGGCAGGTGTGATCATTCTCAGGGGTGGTTCTAATTATCCAGAGGGGTTGTTGTAAACTAAGACCCCCCAGGAAAAATTGTCCCTGTGGTGGTATGTTGGGGTGACAGGCTTGGGGTTACTAGGGTT